CACTTACAGAGTTGGTCATATCAGTGATGGCCCATCAGGCCTGACCTTTATGTGGCTTCTCATCACAGCTCTTTGATGTCCGTCTCACTGCTGCTGTATCAGCCTGAAAGACTACATAAAGGAAATCTAAATCTATTATTCATTCATTCAATCGGCTGAACTACACAATCGAGACAGTGCCATGAACAAAGCCCACTAAGAGAACATGTTTGTTTTTGCTTTACATATCCCGGTTTCATCAAAATTCATCAAAAACACTGCAGTTCCTATAGGAAGGTAGACTAAATTTTGACATAAGCACATACACAGACGTTCAACATAAATTCAACCTGCTTTGCCTTCAGTTTCCCCTAATAGCGCTGAAATATTGAATTGTGGTCAAGTATATAGGACAGAGCCGCCGCCGCCGCCCTCGCTCTTTATCTGCAAAGAAACATATCACAGCAGTTTCACACTTCTCTTACTTTTATGACAATAAACACTTGTTGTTGGACAGGTGCACGCATTAAACATCTAGTCATATTTTTAAGTCTAACTTTAACTCAAACTTAAAATAAAGTACAGACAACACATTGTTAGTACAGCAACATGTGCATTCATTGTTATCAAATACTGACAACTTGTCCTTTTAACTTTAAATATTGTATGTGGGAAGCAAACTACATATTCACTATGTAACCTTTGACACAAATATTGTACAATAATAACGCAAATGGCTGCTCAGTACACTTGAGGACAAAGTTTAAACGCTGCAGACACCGCCCTGACAAACTCACCATGGCCGAAATCACGGATACTATGGCGACGGCTTAGCTCATGAATATTAATTACGTCCTGCCGACGTATCTTTGAAACCTTCCGGATGCGGTCAATCACGCGACCTAATTAACATACGCAAGCCCAGCCTTCATTAGAGTACACTTCGCTCATTCGCTAACTGTTTTTTTTTTTTTCTCAGCAGTGGGCTTCTTTTGTTAATCAAGTCAGGACGCTCTTCGAGAGCACGAGAAATGGTTATGTAAATACTTGCTAACATTCAATCTGTGCTACACTGCGTTAATCTCCGCCTCGCGCTCTGTTAAGGTAACGTTAGATTTAACAGCCGGGGCCAGGCACAATTAAATTAGCCGGGATTTACACAGGAAAGCAAAAAAGAAAATCATTATGATGGGTGATTATCTCATAAAACTGCATCAAGACAGCCCCCCCCCCCCTCCCTAACTTATCTTATACCCAAGAAAAAATATATATAGATACAGCAAATTATCAAAAAAGCATGCAATAAGCAATTATTATGTTGCAAAACTTGCAGCTTTGATCCAGGAAGTTCCTCCGCATGCGAGCAAGCTAATCGAACAGCATTTCCAGCAGCAGTTGAATAGTAAAAAAAAATAAAATACAATACGCTTTCAGTTAAGACTCCGAATTCATGCAATGAATCAGTCGATTGCGTGGACAGCAGAAAATACCAGTTCAGAAATTGCTTCCGACTTCTTGGCCCTTTCTTCTCAGGTCGAGATCTAAAGTCACAGCAGTCTGCTACACACACGACACATATGACCCGTTTTACACCAATTCGTTGGTTGTTTTACGGACAAGTCTTGCTCGTCGGATGATTTCAAATGAGGGTCAAAATCGCGACTTTCCCCATGCACCGAGATCAGAAACCATGCTGTCGAAATGTGCACACTTTAATGAAACACAATCTCATAGTGTAATCACTAGAAGGCAAAATCCCACACTTAGAAATGATCGTTAACTCTGATGTTCCGCCACAGGCTTTCAGACAACGCCGGATGATCAATTCAGACAAAACTGGGCTGGCCAGGGTGTGCTCAAATTAATGCTGGAGACGCAATGCCCTCCAGTCCCAGCCTTGAAATTACATCCATCCATAATGTTTCATTGATCATCTTTATAAAGGACTGAATGCAGTTGTCGGAGCAGGAAATGCATGCATCAACTTGCTGTCTCGTGCCAACCTGCCGTGGCTAACGTTAACGAGCTACAAAAGATGCAAAACTACCGGGGAAAAAATGTCAACGCAAGCGAAAAGGCTGTAGGATCATTTCTGCACGCGTTCTATGAGATCTTCGTGGTGTTTCTGATGTGTAAACTTACCTTGGACCTGCGGCTACTGCGAGGCGATAGGTTAGAGAACGCTTCCCTAACTTCTCAATGGCGCGAGGAGGGAGCGGCGGCGGTGCCAGAGAGCGACACACTTCCGGGAATACCGCCTGCGCATGCGCAACAACAACACCTTTCAAAATTCCACAAACAGATTTTGTAGGCAAAAGTTTACACCGCATCGTTCTACTTTGTGGAGTAGCAGAACCATCACAATAAATAGAAAGACAGTATTCACACAAGAGTGGTATGAGTTATTATGTTATGTTGTAGATCTGTTGAATCTCAACCTTTTGGCGGACCCCCAGAACAAAATGGACTCCTCTGTGTATCCTTTGTGTCTTTGTGAGGGCCAAATGCAGTCAAGTATAATTCAAGTTAGTTGACGTGTCCAGTATTTGGCCATATCATCAGCTACATTGGATTTTTCTTTCATGGGAACATGTCATGTCAAAATATACAAAATGTATACTTTATACGGACCCCCTGGCCTCACGTCAAGGACCACTAGGGGTCCACGGACCCCTGGTTGAGAAACACTGTGTTAGATGAAACGGGTCAAATTATTCAACATAACTCATTCATGGAGAAATGGGAGATACAATGCTCTTTTAGAGAGTTTAATACTTTGTGTAAAGCCATCCCTCCTTTAAAACAATGAATACAAAACACCCTGACATATTCAAATGTATCTGTTCAACTGCCTGAGGTGAAGATTGGAGAAGCATAGCCTATATTGGGGCCAAAAGATGTTAGAACAAAAGTAGGGAATGTATTCAAATGTAAGTTATTTTCAGATTTCAATGCACCTTCAAAACATAAAACATTTTGAAAATGAAATATTTGAAAACAAATTCTGCAAATGGCCAATTCTAACTGAAATGAAGGATATTCGATTATTAATAATGCGTATATATCCAGCTGCCGAGATTTTAGGGAAAAGATTCCGCTTTGAGGTAGATCCTTGTGCTTTTTGTTTAGACGAGCACTGAAACCATCGAACGTTATTTTTTTTCTTAGTCCAGTCACATTGCAGTTCTGGCAGGAGCTTTACAGCTGGCTAAATATTGATATCAATACTGATCTTCCATCACTAAAGTTGTTTCAGGTTTTGGTTTATTATGCAGATGGTCTTTCCAAAAGAAGATGTCATTGATGATATTAAACATTATTACAATGGGTATATATCATATACACAAAAGTAAGTGGAATAAGAGTAAACTCTCTTTAAATTGTTATAAAAATGAATGCAAAAAAAAATAAATACTTTGAATCTTTAAAACACTTATCCAAAGATAATCAACCCCTTGGGGAATTGTATAAAACCATGTATGAGTCTCTTTCCTTTTAAGACGGGTAAGATTTTGTACCTTTTTTTTTTTCTTGAAATCCCCTGAAATTATTAAAGAATTTTTTTTGTCTGTTTATTGTATTGTATTGTATTTTTTGCATTATTGACACACTATTTTCCTATTTAATACTGTAAAGCTGCTTTAACACAATCTGTATTGTTAAAAAGCTCTATATAAATAAAGGTGACGACTTGACTTGTATGTATGTATGTATGTGTGTATTCACATTGCAGTTCTGGCAGGAGCTTTACAGCTGGCTAAATATTGATATCAATACTGATCTTCCATCACTAAAGTTGTTTCAGGTTTTGGTTTATTATGCAGATGGTCTTTCCAAAAGAAGATGTCATTGATGATATTAAACATTATTACAATGGGTATATATCATATACACAAAAGTAAGTGGAATAAGAGTAAACTCTCTTTAAATTGTTATAAAAATGAATGCAAAAAAAAATAAATACTTTGAATCTTTAAAACACTTATCCAAAGATAATCAACCCCTTGGGGAATTGTATAAAACCATGTATGAGTCTCTTTCCTTTTAAGACGGGTAAGATTTTGTACCTTTTTTTTTTCTTGAAATCCCCTGAAATTATTAAAGAATTTTTTTTGTCTGTTTATTGTATTGTATTTTTTGCATTATTGACACACTATTTTCCTATTTAATACTGTAAAGCTGCTTTAACACAATCTGTATTGTTAAAAAGCTCTATATAAATAAAGGTGACGACTTGACTTGTATGTATGTATGTATGTATGTATTTGTGTATATATATATATATACACACATATATACATACATACACATATATACATACATACACACATATATACATACATACATACATACATACAGGTGCATCTCAATAAATTAGAATGTCGTGGAAAGTTCATTTATTTCAGTAATTCAACTCATGTGAAACTCGTGTGTTAAATAAATTCAGTGCACACAGACTGAAGTAGTTTAAGTCTTTGGTTCTTTTAATTGTGATGATTTCGGCTCACATTTAACAAAAACCCACCAATTCACTATCTCAACAAATTAGAATATGGTGACATGCCAAGCAGCTAATCAACTCAAAACACCTGCAAAGGTTTCCTGAGCCTTCAAAATGGTCTTTTAGTTTGGTTCACTA